ATGGGGTTCCGGCAAAGCAGTGATGAGAACTTCATAGAAAAAACCCTTTCATCTCAGAAAGACACAAATCAAAAGAAAAGAGCATTTGACAGGGGCTCCTTCAGTCCTGGAATTAAAATACAAACTGGCAGGTTCCAAAAAGCCTTATAAATACAGTTAGAAGTAACTGGCTCTCCTGTGAATGAGGAGAGCAGAACAGGTTTTTTAAAAAAATTATTAAAAATAGACAGGTTCCTAGCTAGAAAGCTCATGGAAGACAATTGTGTGCATTACATCACCTAAGGAAAAGCTGTAACTCCTAACTAATTCAGAAGAAAAAGCAGAGCAGCTGGGCAACTTCATAAAGGACTACCTACCTCTGATGAATTTAACATGCAAAAAAATGAGAGGACTTTAAGAATCTGTCACAGCCTCCATCACAAAGACACAAATTCTTGGACTGCCACCTCACAAAGAGGAGGATAAAAACATGAAAACAAACAAAACAAATCTGTTTACAGCTGAATTTCACAAGATTCTAATGGGAAATCTAACTCTTATAGTAGCAGAAATTTAATGCAATAACGTAAGAAGGAAACAGTCCATCTTCTTGGAAAAGAAATGAGGATAATTCAAATTGGTGGAAAGATTTGATTCATCACGTGGGCCTATTTCACTAATAAAATATTGGAGTGAATATATTAGTGAATTGATTTAATGTGAACTGATTAAATATATACCCAGCTCAATGGACGTTTAGCACAAGCAAGCAAACTGCAGACACATATGAGAAGGGTCCTTGACAAAACATACATTAAAAAACCCTACTTAAAGTACCTGATAGACTCTGGATCTAGATAACAGAACAGAATCGCACTGTAAAGGCTATATTAGGGGGAAAAAGTCTGAAAACAATTGCTGACAAGCAGCAGCAGGCCGGAGCGCCCATCTTTAACCTTTAATACAACTGCTTGCCCTAGCCCGAGAGCCTCGGGCCACAATAATCCTGCCGAATCTTCGGTCAGGAAGAATGAAAGGATGGAACGTGCATCGTTCTTTTACAATTTACTCTTTAAAAACAACCATATCCTACATACGTGTCCTTGGCCCTGGATGCCAACTTATGAGCCAGAAATCTTACATGTCCGCATATCTTCAAAAATTAATTAAGAATAGAAAATTAAAAGTCATATTTAACAACACTCATTTCAAATTTCAGCTCCGAGAACACTGGTGCCCAGTAGCTTTGCGGCAGATCAATTTAGGACAAAAGAAAAACTATTCACATCAAAATACTGTTGCATTCATAACTCATATATATGAGTTACGCCTTGTATATATGAGTATGCCTTGTAATACTCAAGGCATTACCATAAAATATCTTGAGTGCCCTGTTTCAGTCACAAGAGAATTTTTGTTAAGACAAGAGATTAGATATGTGCACAAATACACAGGCACAGGATCGTACCGCACACAGTACACGGCTATAAAATCCTATCAGCACTGTTTTGAAAACACACACAGAAGAAACTAACCATGGGAGATTATACAATCTGATGCTGCAGGAGAATTCATTTATTTTAATTGGCACTACTCTATGTAACTGTACATTCATAGGCATATAACTGGTATTCCTCTTTTATAAATATTTTAATTTATGCCTTCATGAACCACAATACCATAAAGAGTAACAAAAAAACGCAGCTGAGTCGAAATAAGTTTTAACCGCAGCTCTTCAGAGAAATTGCTCAGCGCTTTCTGAAAGAGGAACAATGACAAGGCATTTTAACGTTACCACTGCTGGTGTACTTTTAATCATGAAGAATTATCAAAACCACATCACAACATATTATTGTTAGCTTGCCTCTATTGACCTTGTTTACTAACTACGTTACTGCAAATGAAGGAAACAGTGATTTCAAAGACCAGTGTGTTCACTTAGACTCCACAAGAAAAAAGCCACAATACCTTTAATTCGGCTTCAAAGATTTACTCCGGAACTGAAATGCAAAACGACTGGAGCGTAGGAAACCTAAGACATAGGCATCGCAATTTTATCAACATCAACAACAAAAAAACACACCTGAGAGGGTGGGCCGTCGCCTACCTAGGTTATTTAAAAATCATTAGCTGGGAAGTAAATCAACAGTAGGCCTGAAACCTCTAATAGGTTACTCTCATAACACAGAGGTTACGATTTTGAGCTTGTTCCAAATTCCCAAGCATGGGTGTAGCTCCACATTACAGTTTCTCTGCCAACAGCCCTTGCTCAGGAGACACCTGCCTCTGCTGTCCCTGGCAGCTCCTTCTTCCTCCCCTTTCTCTGCCCTCCAGATTCTGCTCCCCCTCCGTCACTGTTACGCCGATCAAACAACTTCTGAGGCCACGAGGAAAATCAGGTCACCAAAACGATCAGGGAAGCGCCGGTTCCAGCATCTAGCTTCCGTTTTGCAGTTTAATTCATCATGTGGATGACAGCATGATAAATGTAGATTAAATACTTAATTTTTTTAAAGCATTTTACTGGGGGCCGGGGACGGACACAATCCAGAACTCCTAGCTTCCCGCCTGTATCTCCACAACAACAGCATACAGAGTCGCAACACTGAAGGCCTGGAAAGGCAAACATGACATAGGCGACTAATTTAAAGTATGCACTTACCATATGAAAAGGTTCTAAAGAACTGAAAAACTCAGACCTAGCTGTTAACCCGGCTGCTTCCTCAAGGGAGGGGTGGGAGGATGAAAAGACAGACAGGGCTGAAGTTTAGAACAAGCAAACTAAACAAAGATGAAGAATATCAAGTGAGGTTACTCAGATCAGCGCAAGAGGACTGTTCTTTCAGTGCCAGTGATCCTCACTGGAAGCTATTAGCCCTCCGAAGTGAGCCAATTACATTTGCTCACTTAAATATTCCTGATGTTTCCTCTACTAAATTATCACAAGTCCAAGAAATGAAACTGGAATAATTAAAACCAACTTTTGGGAATACTCAATATTCTCAAGCGCCTTAATTTTCTCCTTTAAATAATATCCTCCAAATATTCTCAAATTTAGGAGCGTATTGTAATAGAAAAGGGAAATTAACTACCACACCTAAGTATTGCAAGGAAAAAACTAAATTCACATTCCACAATTCTGTGAAATGCCCCCCTCAAACAAGTGTAAAATTTTCTAGCTCTAGATTTATGAAGAGGTTAACAGGATACCAACTGATTTTATTTTTAGAATTGAGAGGTAATAGTAATGGAAAAATATCTGCCCTGATTAGCTGTTGTCTAGTGACAGTTATGAAATATGTTTTAATGAAAATGACAGAAATACCCAAACTCTAGAAACTGCTGTTAAGATCATACCTGTAGCACTTTAAGAAGTCCAGCTCAGCTGGTGAAGAAGTTCTAGTCTTCTTTCAATACAGCAGTAACGACAGAAGAATAAGGAGCAACCGCAATGACGCACATAAGCTTTAAACTTAAGAAGCTGTTAATTACTATTAGGGATATTTATGGAAGGACAACAACAAGTTTCATTGCAGAACCAGTAAAAAACTTCGTTAAGAGATCAGACAGAAACATACGGTAGTATGTGTTACACATACAGATGTATAGCCCTATCAAATCTTGATATTTCAGAACTGAAATCTTTCATTCACAAAGAAATTCGTATTTGGAAAGCTCTGCGTATACAAGATCCTTAATATTGGAAAATGAACTGAAAGGAGTAGTAGGGGCTGATAAGAGAACATCTGACAAAGATACGGCTGTGCACAGAATCCACAATTAAAGATTGTCTACAGTACGGGTTTTCAAAGGTTGGGCACGTAATCAGGAGAGGATCTGTACTCTCCTGGGCTTTAAACCATAAACACGATAGTCTCTGAACACGATACGATATCACAAGAGGACAGAGCCATTTGTTAGCGGGTCTTTCCAAAACCTACGTGTCTCTTCGTGCAGGTACCTTCCTCAGAACAACCATGCTCACAACAAAAGCCTTGAAGGAGTTGATTTAAAAAAAAAAAAAAAAAACAACACACTCCAATGTCATGAAACCAGTGAATGACAACCCCTCGCTCAGGTCCCAGTTATCCCAGCTACTGAGGATATTTTCTTTGTGAAATCGACATTTTTCCCCTCAGTAAAAGATGCATACGAATTACTATAATTAATGCAATGATGCAGTACTACTAAAACTTCTCATGACAAAACGCCTTCAGGATCAACCAACTCAAGCTGGGACTCTCACCAGCAACCGGATCCTAAACAGACTATTCCTATCTAAAAACTGAAATGACAAAGTTAGCTCTGCTACCAGGCACCTTAAGAACACAGTGAAGCGTTACTGCTTAAAAATTACAATTCCCCTTTCCCAAATAAAATTTGGGGTAACAAGATACTGAAAGTAGGGGAAATATCCTGGCACTGTTAGAAACACGTATTCTTTTGTCTCAACCAAAGGGAAATAGTCCTGTTTCCTTCTGTTGCGTTTATCACCGTTGTATCTTCATACAATCACTTGTGGGTTCCCAAGGAACGTATGCATGCACTATTTACACACATACAAAAGCACAAGTAAACAATATATCCCAATATATCCAAAACGTGCTGCCAGATGGCTTTAGAAAGAAAAAATAAAAGATCAACTTAAAAGCTCTTACACTGCCGGCAGTCCATTTTTGGACGTAACTATGAAAGTAGAAGCCTTTTTAAAGCTTAATCAACATTTTTGCAACCTTTTGTTTCACAACTAGAATCTCATCTAGCCGTCTTCACGGAACAGGCTTAGCCATATGACTAAATTCTGTGGTCTATATGTAGGGTTTTTTTTTTAAAAAAAATTAAATCACAGTGCAATATTGCAATGTACTATGATATTTTGAGTCTACAAGATCAACTGAGTACATGTATTAATTAAAAAGAAAAAAAAAAAAGATCTAGTAAGACTAAAACCGCAGACATAAAAAGTATACTTTTAAAAACCGTAAATAAAATATATGCATATGGTGTTGAAATTTACTTACCACTGGACCTGTTTTTGCGGTTTGACTTCCCTCCTGTAAGAAGCATCTTGAGACTGTTTCGAAACATGGCGATCCTGTTCACCTTCGTGTATCCCCAAAACTGTGTAAAACAAAACCAACACCTATAAAACCTGGCATTTTTTGTGTTTTCATTCATCCAGACTATATCCAGGACAACATAATCTCTTCAGCACTGCTGACAAAACCTACCTATTTTGTCAAATTCTTTGATCAATTATTATCCAGTAATAATGGATTTGAAGAATAATAAAAATAATGAACAACAACTTTCAGGAAACAGATTCAGCAAATTCTGCCTCCATTTCCCATGACTATCAAAGTCAAACCTATGAAAAAGAATTACTACTACCTACTACACTGCTTAGAAAAAGTCAGTCTTGCTGACAGCGACCCACAGACTAGAAAAGGTATTGTCTTTAGCTCCTGGGATAGGTAACTAGCAGAGTTTTCGATAAATCGAATGAGCTGTCCCGCAGAGGAAGGCAACTCAACCTAAAGTTAAGATCATCGATGTTAACCAAAAAAAAAAAAAAAAACACACACACACAGAAACATTATCCATGTATTTTCCTGACTCTGTACATCTCAAAAAAATAAAGAGGTGTCTCCATGCTGCTGAAGATAAAAGAATGAGCTTCTGGGTTCACAAGACACACTGACAGCTTGTTCTAGCGGAACATCTTCTAATAAGAGTAGGTAAGCCATTAAAACAACAACTACAAAAGCAGCTCAAAATTAGACCAAAAGAATAGTAGAGACTTTGATCAGGACATACAATAAAGCATAGCTTTGCTTCTTTTGCATACATCGTATTCCAGGTAACATGTTCACCTTCTAGAAACATATCACAAAAATCTTTTCAACAATATTCAATTCTTCTTGGAGGATGCTCAGTAAACGTGACCTTTAGTTACTTCACGGCTTCCTAATATTTTCAAGCATAGACACAATAACACCCAAATCAAAAAGCTTTACATGTATATTTTAAGCCACTGAAAGTCCTCATAAAATGGTCCATTCAATCACATATAAAGACAGCGGCCCAGAGCATACACATAACAAACATCAGTAAGTGTGCACACATGACCTTAACTTTATAGCATTTCCTGGCTTCCAGCACACTTCATTCACTTGCTAGATTCCCCAAACAGATTTTGGGGTATGTGTGTCCGCATGCATGTATGTGAACGTGAATATTTTTAATCAGAATACAGTACTGCTATTCCCTTTATATCTATCAGTCATGTGAACTTCATCTGGCATCTCTCGGAAGCCTTGCATAATGACATTAAAGCACAAAGAGCTAGTATTTAGGCCTATTCCCAAAGCTCCTAAACAAAGCTTACCCTATGTAATATGAAATACCAAAGCTTAGCTCACTCTTCGAAGTACGCTAATATGAGGTGACATTTAAAAAAAAAAAAAAAAAGGCCTAGTCACAAACGCAACAGCCTTAAATTTGAATTCTACATATGTAGTTTCTATAGAAGGCTGTAATGCTCACATCATACAAAGCAAAACTCCTGGTTTGCGCATATCTTTCCTCTCTTACGTTTATTAACAAACTCCTTCACATTGCATTGAAAGAACACAGAACGTTCTTTGCAACATCTGAAGGAGAAAACATGAAGCAGATATTACATGTAAAGAAGGCAACTGAACTCAGTATTGTTTCTTTTGGAACGTGATAGAGCTATAATCTCTCCAACACCCCACTAATCCAAATATATTTGTCTAGGCTTTGAGCAAGAGAACTAGAAGGCAATAAACATCCCTTGCTGCCTTCTGGAGAACTGCTTGTGTCCAAAACTAGTATGAGCTCTTCCAGCAGTTTTGGACATAATACTAAATGGACCATCAAAAAACCTGTATGTTTTAAAGGAGGCTGTAAAAAAGGAAAACATAGCAAGTAAGCAGCAACGACTTTGTTTTAAGACAAAATAAATCTATGAATCATCTGTGCCATGCACAGTTTAAAGAATTTTATTTTCCCTTTAAGTTTGAATTTCCTTCCTTGTTGACCTCTGGAGCAGAAACGCCTTTGAAAACAAAATCGTTTCAAAAGTTGATTCTAGAAAGTAAAATTACTGTAAACACGTTGGTCTTTCAAACATTTGAAAAGAAACACCTCTTAATAAACATTCAAGGTTTTGCTCCCCGACATCTCAGCTAAGAGAACGCCTGATGAGGCCTTCTGTGCATTACAGGGATGCTCCAAATTTTAGTAGTTTATATCGACAGCGCAGTGAGTAAAGTCAGAAAATACCTTTAAGCTTTAACTGAATGTGTGAAAAGGACAACCTAAAAAAAATAGCAATACTTCCTGACTTGGAAGCGTTTCAACAATTCTATGAGCTGTTTCTTCATATATTAATGTTTAATTGAAAAGTAAGTGAAGGAAAATCCTGTAAACAAGAACACCTTAGGGCCAAACCACGTGATTCCATTAGCTCATTGTCCAATTTGGGTAGTAGATCATACTACATCAGACTGCTAAGACAGAATTTACTCCCACAGCCTTCATAACATTCAGCAAAAGTCTACTAACACTATCTAGTCAAAAACTATCAAAACATTATACGTAAGTCTGTAAGAGAAGTGTCTGCAAACGTTTATCACACCATATTTATAAATGAGAAACCATTATAGTCAGTGACGAACCACTTCCCCCCCCCCACCCCAAAAAAAAATCGAAAGAGCATCAAAAGTATAAATCTTACAGCACCCTACTTCTATGCAACGCTGCCAAACTGAAGACGGGAGCATCACAGTATTGCTCAGTAGAATAGCTGCATCCACATGGGAGCACCGAGAGGATTCGGTGCCGAACAGCTTGTGACCAGCCAGCACAGAAGTAAGGCATTCCTCCTTACGTCGCTCCCTTTGGAGCTCATCATTACAGATGAAACAAAACTTTGCAAATAGGAACCAGTATCTAGGACTTGACAGCACCCGGCCAGTGGAATATATAGAAAGAATATGATAAAAAACATTTTTAAACAGATTCTGTGATTCATTAGACAAGCCTTAACACTTCTGTACTTTTATTGCTGGTAAGTACCATGACAATATTCTGTAATGATAAGCAGGAAAATAGTTACTCCAAGGTCTCATTGCTCATTCCCTCACTCACCCGCTTCTATCTGTCCTACAACAGATCCTGGGGCATCACGCTTCTCTAGCACGTCTTAACTTCATTCCCAATAGGAATGAGGGAAACAAGATTCAAAAACAGGGTAATTGCTTAAGAATTTTTCTGAAAAAGATGATAAAATCTTCAGCTTCTGACAGAAAATATATTCAGTTACGCAAAATAATGGAAAAACCTGTTAAAACTGTTAAAAGTTCCTGGTAGCACCAGATCTGTCTCTTTCCATGAGGAAAGCTGAAATCACTCCATTAGAAATTAAGTAGTGTACATTAAGAAGTGTATATTAAGAAGATGCTAATAATGACATCTTTTTGCATATTAGTTTTCAGGTTTCATTAACACGGAAACACTGAATTAACATTTTGTAAACAAAAATCTAGTCTTTCACAAATTAGTGAACTGTTTTCAAAGAACATTCAAACTTAAAAAGGAATAGGTAACAAGGTTTTTTTTTTTTTTTTTAAAAATACAAATGACAGATTTACAAAGTAATTACCATGAGATGAAAGAAATTGAAAAAGGAAAGTGCACAACACAAGCCAAGTCATTCCTTCAAGCACTTATTCCGTGTATAACATATATTGTATATAGTAACCTGCTCCACATTTGCTCGCGACAGCTGCTAGACTGAAATTTTCCACGCTCCTCAAATAAATTATTCAGTTTAACCTACACTCTTATTTAAAATTGCACTGAAATTCAAGGGAATGTTTTGAGACAGCCTAATTACATGAGACCTAGTACACTCTATCCAAGAAGAAATTACATTTAGCACAGTCTTTCCTTATCTAAGCCACCTATACTTGTTGATACTTTGACCAAAAGAATACTATAAACAGTGTGCAAGCCTTCACAGAAAGATCACACTGCCATATGTCCTTAGGTAATACTGTCAGTATATGGTAGAAACTCCACAAACTTTATAACAAATCAAATGCATTAAACTCTCTGCCTCACGTAATAACTGTGATGTACAAAAGGAGTCTGAATAACTCCTAACAACAACTCTGGAGTCAGAAGAATCGTGTATTTATACTATGCATGGACCAAGCTCATAAGAAAAACAAGAATTTAGAGATTAAATATTTTCAGGAATTTGAGGTTGAAAAAGCAACGTCTTTGTTTTAATCTAGCAAAAATGCTAAGAACTTCTAGGAACGTTTGGAAAAAAATATGCATTAAAAGCACTAAACAGTACCCATTATAGGTTTTTAAACAATGAAGAGCTTACTAGACAAAGTTCTGGAGGCTAACAGGCTTTAGAATAATTGAATATGAACAAAATTAATACTTTCATGGAAACTATAGACCCTCAGGAAAGCCTGGATACTAATTGTTACCCTCAATGGTGTCATAAGGCAAGGGTCTCTCTGTCCATCCCCAGCAAAATACTTGGAGAGCTCGAGTGCCATCCTGCTACCTTTCCTACAGATCCTACATCCATCCCCCATAACTCAAGACCCCCTGCGTTATTTGTCCTCTCTCCTTCCCTCCTGTGAGCAGTCAAGATACACCTCGAATGTCTCTGCTTCTCCAACTGTCCTCGGTGAGCTACGAATACATCAAAATAACTGACAGCGTTCGCAGGGCGCAAGCGTGCAGCAGTTTTTTTTTCCATTCTAGCAAAAAGGAGAAACGCCTAACACTGTAGTTGAAAAGAAATTCTGAAAACATTGCAAACACGGTACTATCTTCTCACGTATGTGCAACTCCCAACAATAGCGCTAAGGCGAACGAGGCCAAACGTATTTCTTGATGAGCCTATAATCACTATGTGAAGGCCAACACTGCTCACTTTTATAGTTAGAGCATGAGAGAAGAGAGACAAGTACTGTATTATGAAAATTCATACAGCTTATTTTGAGTAACAGCTCATTTTGCTAGCTGGCTTGGAAAACAGGACTTGCAGAGGGCTACTTAGCTTGGCAGCAGTGCTAGACTGAAACAGCTACTGACTTTGGGAACAGCATCTGTAAGATAAGCCAAGGAGGACATCGCTAGAAAGGGGGAAGTTCCATGTCCTCCATTAACAGGAGGACGTTTTTCTTTCATTTTGTCCAGAACGTAACCGTACTTGTGGTAAAGATGATGAAGAATTAAAACATACCTGCTAAAGAGAGATCCTACCGATGAACAACTTATGATTTGATAATTTTACTGTTCTCAAATAATACTCCCTCTTAAAATCCAAGCAAGATAAGCTTGTCTGCCCCAGAATACCTACTAATACACTATGCAACTCTAATGTCAGTCAGGGTTTGAACCTGTCCTTCTGAATAAAAAAATTCTCCAAGAATTCTCCAAGAAGATCTTGACTTTAAGTATTGGGGTTTAACATCAGGAAAACAAAACAGCTATTTAAGATGAGATCAGAAACACAACTGAAAGAACGTAACCACTGACCAGAAGAAAGTCAAGTCAAAATCGGTTCTTTCTTGAATGAGAAAATGTAGTGACCTTGAAATTAAGGAAATTTAATTCTGAACAAGACTTGATCATTCTGCATAACCTGGTTTCTAATTCTAGATTAATGATACAGACTGAATTCATAAGGGACGCTTATGTTCTCCATATACAATGTCAATTATACTGGCTTTGAGAGAAGCAGTAACTGAGGAAAAGTTAGGAATATCATTGTCTCGCCTGCACCAACTCACATTCAGTGCTTTTAATGTGCTCTGTTGTCGTCCATAACAGTTAAACTGTAAATAATATTAGCAGCTGCCTCCATCAGCAGCTACCTGAACAAGGCACTTAAGCTTGAAAAACACCCTAAAACTCTTCTGCAAAAGTCTAGCTAACTGCCTACCTCTGCGAAAGAAGAAAAATTGGAAGGAATTTCAGGGCAGTTTCTACTGCCAGGGTCAACAAGTCTCATTCTACCAGGACCAATAATCCTGATTCTGCCCCAAGCCACCAGAAGATCAGAAAAACCTTCTATGCTTCATCATCAGGACCTGCTAGCATTTTGACTTTCAGCTAGGTCATGGAGTAGCCAAAAATTCTTTCCGTCACTCAGAAAACAGCTACACACTGCACATTCTATTACAGATGCTCTTACCCGTGTTATATTGGCTTAATTTTAAAGATACAATGGTATGACAGAAAATGAAAACAAAAGAACTATGCAATGTATGGAATGAAGTGGCATGAAACGTTACAGCACTTGACTATATCAAAAGAAAAACACCAAACTGGAATGATTTTGTTCATTTTAAAATGATTGAAAAATACGCATTAACATACAGACCTAAGTTAAGGAGCTGCTGCAAGGCTGTTCTGCAAACCTGTTCAAGGTTCAAGAATATTTAATATGGAACTGAACTTAAGTCTATTAACATATACTAGAGACTTTCTCAAAACAGAAGTTTCGCGGCTTTACAAATGGAAAACTAAATCGAAAAATTAACACACAAAAGTATATTTACGTAGAACGCTGCTTCACTATTATATATTTTGTTCACAAAAAGTCTAATCTATTTTAACTAGCAGTTAGAATGAGCTTATATATCCATAAATATGTATGTGTATATACATATATATATATTTAATAAGGTTAAAAGACTGGTAAAACTGATACAGGAAGACAGTGCCCTCTGCTGTATTACACTTCTTGTTGATCAAAGATTAATTGAAGTAACAGGACAACTTCCATCCTATTTAAACTGCTAAATAACTTCTGTAAAGAAAATATGGGACTGTGGGGGGTGGGGGGGGGGATAGATTCTCCTACCTTGATATGTTTAGACAAGTTAAATCTCTAGGTAAGACGCGTCTTCCTCCATGCACCAGAAGTCCTGAAAGACAAAAACCAACAAGCTTTAGTAGCAGCTTGTCAACACGTTACTGTGTTCAATGCTGTCTAGTCACGTGCACAAAACTATAATAATCTCAGCCCAGGAAGAAATGCACAATATTTTCTGGAGTATTACTGTATGAGTTACAGATGTACAGAGTTAATTTTTGTGCTTTTATACCTTTAACCAACACTAATTTTTGTCACCTGACTCTTCCCTCATCCCCTTTCAAACGGGGGAAGAAAAGCAGAACACACTTTCCTTTGACACACATCATAAAGTACAACATTTAAAAGGTAGTACGTTACTTGCAAGTATTTTTCCTTCGACCTAGCAAGCTTTTCTGCTAAAATCCTGCAGCCTCCCCTCTGTTTCTGCACCCTCTCTGCCACTGACGGGATTCAGCACTAAATCCGGAGCTTGATACTTGGCCCTTTGTTCTGTACATCCCAGACGTACAACAAGTCACAGAGCCATGATAAACGTATCCTATTATTCCCTGCAAGAGTCTAGATCCCCTATTTCAGCACTGCCACACGTGTTTATTTGTGCTGATGATATCAGCTGTTTTACAAGCGTCAAAGGTCTGTTCTTTTTAAAGTCTCATTCCACAAGCAAATAGAAGGAGGAAGATATAAACACATATATTCTGTTTACCAATTAAGGTGGTCCCAGAATAAACTGAGACCACCTTAAGTCCGCACATTTTAAAGCAAAGTAGAATAATACATTCTACCACTTCATTAGGTTCTTGCTGCTATTGCCAGCAGATACTGAAGAGTAATACAGCCTAGAGTTTAATTCATGCTGTTCTCCAAAACCTTAATAAAAACTTTTCAGATGATCTTGCTCGAGTATCGGTATGCAAAACCGTCAGACGTTCCATAAATTCATCAAGTGATTTTCTTCTTTCTTAGGGTTGCCAGTTGCTTTCAATTTTTCATTCCTGGGGCAAAAATAACTGAAAAACTAGTAACCATCTACATTCTTCAGGGTCCTGGCTGTTTCAGTCAGTCAAGCAAGGAGAACACGCAAAGCCAATTCTAGTCCCGCAGCTCTAAAAGCTATTCTCACTATAGCAAGGAGGAAGATTTTCTGTGACCATGCCAGCGGACCTCTCTGCAACTTCTAACATTACACCGTTAAATATTGCCAAACGCAAGTTACGATCCAAGACCAATGTGCTTTACATCATTCCTTTATAGAGCAGCACAAAAATTACAAGTAATTTGATGTTTCTTCCTCAGTGCTGAAGTGACGCACAGAAATCTCTATCATCAACGCCTGTTGTTTGACATAGATGGGAAACCAGTTAGGCGTACGGTCACGCAGTATATACAAATACCAACTGATGCCACTATGGCACCTACTGATGTGTTAAAACACTATATTAGTTCTTGGAAACCTTTTTGCCCCCTCAAAAAAAAAACAAACAAACAAACAAAAAACCCCACACAGCCTCTCCTTCCCTTACTTGCAGCTCTTACCTCTGAGTAAACGAGATTAAGAGGCAAAATTTGTTTTAAAGCTATCATTTTATAAGGTCAATAGAAGAGCTGACTTTTTTTTTTATTTGCCCTTGAAATACACTGTCAATATAGTAACAAAGACACAGGTTGAACTTTTTGGGCACAGTCATTAAAACAGAGAAGTGAAAGGGTCGTTCAGACGATGTCTTGCTGGCTATGCAAGCTTTGCAGGAGCCCTACTACAGTTCATGCCCAGCTATGACCCAGACTACCCCCCCGGCCACGTGTCGTCGTGCTGCAAGAGCCTGCTCCTTCTTCAAACTCCTCTGCTGCGTTCTGCAGCCTTGCACTTACTGCTCTAAGTCACGTCGGCGTTCTGCGCGAATCGCACCCTTAGGAAGGGCCGGCGGAACGTTTCCGAACGAGTGTCAAACCGCACATAGCGGAAGACCCCACTTAGGAAACTTAATTTGAACTGCAATGAGTTTTCACTGAAACTTCCACGCGGAAGCCAAATTCAAACATGGTCAGATCAAGCGAGTTTTTTATTAGACACTACTTCACAATAAAAGGCCATGTTGCCTAGATTCTAGAGAAACAGAGGAGTAAGGCACCTTCACACTTTCCTTCGGCATTCTTCCCTATTCCTTTAACCGGTCAAAAGCTATGCATTTCATAAACATCTCCAATCGTTAAGTATAAAGAAATTTTCTCTTTCAAAAACGGCTTTGCTACATTTCCTGGAAAACTGGAAAAAAAAAACAACCCACAGTTTTGGAATAACAAAAAAATAACTCCTAATAAATGTTTCAGTTTGCTGCCATCTATCATCTTAATACCTTTCGCCTAACATGATACACTGTAAAACAAAAAGTAGAAAATGGCTTATTATGTATGTGGTGCAAGCTGTAGATGGCTGCTGACTACCCATAATTTGCTCAATAACTTTCCATCTGTATTCAGACAGCGTATTTGATGAATATGCTCTGCTTTGAGCTTTTAAACAGCAGGGCTTTCATCTGCTCATATTATTACATTAGAAATCTTTATGTGAATGCAGCAGATATTAGCGGGTTGTCAATAAAAAAAGGAGTGGCATTAAAGCGCTTTTATTCTTTAAATGCCTTTAACCCTCTAATTATATTTGCAAATTCTGCTGTTTAACTGCACGAAAGTTATAAATTCTGACATGTTGTATCAAAACAAATTTATTTATGGAGTAATATACAAACAATTATAAGGAAAAAAAATCAATTTTAGAATTACTCCTTCTTGATTAAAACATTGAAACACGCTATGGTTGTGATTTATCAGAAATAACGCACAGTTAGGATTTCTTCAGTTACCTAAGAGTTCGGGGGTTTAATACCTCTGCCCTGTGAGATGCAAGTCATAGTGCATATATATAAAAAAAAAATCTGATTCCTTTCTTATGGTATTAGTATAGTTTTCTTCCAAGACAATTTTCTTTTACTAGGCAGAGAAGAGACAATAGTCCTATTTCTTAATTCTTATTTGGCTCCAGAACCAATACACATATTGACTAGTTTGCTCTTTGACTATTTGTTTGCTCCCCCCAGCCCCAAAGCGGGGTGCCTGTAAAATAGGGCACTAAGCCACAGAACAAGTACCTAGCATTGACCTACCCAAATGCAAAAAGCGGTTCAGTCTTCATACTCGTTCTGCCTTCTGCCATCAACGAAGATGCCAATTACTGTCAATTGGGATTTTTTGTGGTTAACAAACAGCTAGGAATAGCCAGCTGACAGCAGTGGCTTGTAATTGCTATCTAAGCTTGCAAATCTGAAATATGACCTAGATAGGAATATTTTAAGTTCCACAATGCCAAAAAAAAAATCCTTACTAAGAAATGCTTTTTTTATTTTTACTTTTTCTGCCAGCAGATTCAGGTAATTGATGTCAGGAACACTGAAAACAGAACCAAGTGACCTGGAGAATCTCACAAAGCCATTCAGGGACACAGAAGAGTATGAAGAGCTGCTTCACCCACCACCAGCGCCCACCCACATCATGGCCAATTGCCGACTGCTTTTGTTTTAAGTTATCGCCAGCCCAGAGTAACATCAATTCAACTGCACATTTCCTGTATTATGTTTATTGTCCTAGAACGTCCCCTACTTTGTTCAACCTCATTTGGTATGGCAAAAAATCTACCCTTTTTTGATAATTCTCTGCATTCAGGGCCTTTGCGCTGATTTGGACATAACTTCTGAATGAGCACATTGTGAACAATGCTGCTCAAACAGTAGTGAATGAAAGCACATTATGTACTTTCCAAAATAAGAATACAAAGAAATGGTACTAAAAAGTATGAGTTTATTATTCAATAATTATTGAATATTGCAAAACCAAATAACCAAAAAACTAAGAAATGCAAGACTTAAAGTTTATCATGGTCTTACTATCTAAAGAATATTTCAGTCACGACTTTTTGGCAAACAACATATGTAGAATATGAAAGCGTAATCTTCACTACTAACTTTCTATTGTTATTTCCCCTGTTTGGAAAAAAAAGGCATTTTTAGAATCTCATTGGTATAGCGATATCACAGTATATGACTGTATTATGATATGCTTATTTTTATAATAGGCACCGAGAACAAACTTTTTATTAAGACAATACTCAGATAATAAATTTTATCATTTTTGAAAAATAACAGATTGCAGGGACTTTGATTATCTTTAGAATCTCACTATCTTTAGAAGCTCAACATTTCTCCGATACACATTTACGCATTACTGATTAGTTGAATTAATAGACTTACCAAGTTCATTTGTCAGACCTTACTACTAAAAATCCACAAATTAGAAACGTGGATTATAGGAAAAGTCAATAAGCTCATGGAGCATTACAGTAGTGGTATGAGTAATGTTACTACTGTTGGAATGTACTATGTCCTCTGCCGCCGTTGGATGAATCATTCTGTTGAATTTTACTAGGGTAGCTAAAAGGAAGGCTTCTTCACGGTCTCAAAGCATGATAAATTGTGGGGGGGGGGGGGGGCCCTAGAATGAGTTCATCAGCTCTAAGAGAAGCTATCAGCTTAGAAAATATCATCCATCCTATATTTGAAAATATTTAATATCAATATTGAGCAAACTTCCAATTAACAGGATGAAATGTAAAATTAATTTTCTATTCATCCTAGAGCAAACAAAGCAATCTTTTTTTCCATGATCTATGGAAACAGACATCGCATTTGAGCAGGTAAAAACTTCACGGCGATTTTGCAAAGCTAATTGAATTTGAAGTTTCTAAAACAAATGTAGAATAGGTCACACGTACCCTGATCTCAACAGTTTAATTATATTTTCCCAGAGAAATTTACAACTTACTCATACTTTTATCAACAGAACATTAATACACAGACATTAAACACAATGACCATCTGTCTTTGAAAACCATACACTACACCAATGAGCAGAACATGTTGCTCAACCAGTCCTGCTGGAAAGAAAAATCTCTGAAATGGTCTCATGAATAGGGATTTCCATCTTTAAATGAGGTTA